GTATGTGGTAACTCCTCCGCGAAGAGCAGTCTGTGTGCCGTGGGATCAGATCAAATCGGAATCACATCCTAGCTCGGCCACTTGCCAGGTGGTCGATCTGGGCAAGTTTTTGCACCTCTGAGCGTCAAGATCTGGTCCTCATCGGGGGCTGTGGGGAGCGTGGGGGTCTGCGCAGAGGCAGGCAACCTGCTGGGAGCCTTGAGTGGGAAGCGGGTCATCAGAAAAATGGAAATAGCAATAAAACCAGGAAGAGGTCGTGAAACCCATTTAATTCTCTTAAAAGCTTTTGCCCAGAGCGAGCCCAGTGGGGTGCCACCAACATCTCCTCCGGCCACTGTCCCCATCGTCACATGGCCGGAGCCCTAACCTCAGTCCCGAAAGCAGAGGAAACAGGTGCCTCAGGGGCAGGAAGTCGCGGCGGCGGCGGCAGGAAGAGGAAGTGCCTGGCGATGGCGGGCCAGCGTGCTGCCCGCGGCGACCCCGAGCCCATGGCGGGCCAGCGTGCTGCCCGCGGCGACCCCGAGCCCATCCGGCCTCGGCAGCCACCTTCCTCAGGTCGGGGGCACTCCGTGGCCGAGGCATGCCAGGCAGGTGCTCCCCCGCCACCCGCCGCCACCCGCCGCCAGCCGCTTCCACCTCCCACCCAAGAAATGAGCCCGAGGCACCTGTGCCGCGGCCGCTGTGTACCTGCGGCCACCTGCCACTGCAGATCGCATGGAAGACATGATTTCCGACCAATATTTCTTACAGAGTTGGCCTCCGCGCTAACTCGATTTATAGTTTTTCAAAAAACAGAAACTTCTTTGTATTAGCATAAACTTTACTCATGTTGAAAAGCAGGAACTTTGCATTAGTTTGTATATTTTAGAATGGCGCCATTTAATTGACTTCTCCCAAAGACAGGATTTGTAGGAGGTGAGATTCTCTAAGTACTTTCATAGGCTTCAGATACTAATGTTCTCTTTACAAACACGACCTGTGGCCCTAGTGGCCCTGATGTCCCCAGCACCAGAGGTGAAACTTGGCTGCCTGCCAGATAATATTCATCGCAGGACCCTGCACAGAGCAAATGGTTATTATGTGTTTACGCAAGTCAAAAGTCACACACCCAGTTTCTTAAAGGCTGAAATCTTTTGTTCGTGCGTTAACTATATTAAGGGTGTTTTACAAAAAGAAGGTAAAATATGAATAAGCCATAATTCATTCCCTAGCTCCAAAAGGCAAATAAGTTGTTTACAGCCAGAAACATGTACATGCTTCCAGGAAAACAGCAGACAAGTGACAGACACTATATAAACACCTTCTGTATCTCTGTATAATACACAATTTTTAAATATATGGTAATACATTAATTCCCTACTATAACACCTCTTAATTTTCTTATTGAAAGATCATTTTCATGGAGTGCTTTATAAAATGTTGTCTAAAAGATTTCAAAGAAGAGAAAAATTCTAAAGCTTGAATATTTTTCCTGCCCACACATACACGGCTCTCCTTTCTCCCCGTGATACTGAGAAACAGGGATATTTCAGCAGACCTTGAAAAGAATGTTCGCTTGAAGAACAATCATTCATGCGACAAATATTTTTACTAGGTATCGTATACACAGGGGTGACAGCGATATATACATATGTACACGCGTGTTTGTGTGTGTACACATGTAGTATGTGTACGCATGTGCACGCACGTGTGTATGCATGTATTAAAAAGGTATGGCGGTCCCTACGCCTATGGCTTGCAGATCAGCGGGGAGAGGGGCTTAATCGATGAATCCCACAAACATAGAATTACAACCATGACAAATGCTCTGATAGACAAGTCCACGGAGAAGCTAAGGGCACACGAGGGAGAAAAGCAGACAGGTCTGGGGAGGCAGCTCTGGGCGAGCATCTTCGTCGGTGTGGGCTGACACAGCAAAATCCCAGAGACTGGGGGCTTAAACGACACACTTTTACCCCTCACAGTTCTGGAGGCTGAGAAGTCCAAGGTCGAGGTGCCGGCACATTCGCT